TACGTTAACACTAACAATGTCACCATAGCAGAGACTGTGTCCACCATTTCGGAAATTCACGGTGACATTAAAGATGGTTCCAGTAGGGAACGGGCAGAGGGTGCCCGTGTCTCTCGTGACTCATTGGAGCAGAGGAAGATAGGACTAACGCTAACATCATATAAACGCAATCTCACATCATTGCTCATCACCACCATCTAAAATCATCATTGCTCTCAGATTCCTTGAATCTCTGTCTCTAACACTTACATTTTATACTATGTATGTACGTAATACACTATTGGACACTATCATACGCACTTTTTCTACTAATCAGATGGCGTCAATCTCATGTAAATGGGTGAGGGGGGAAAAAATGATTTGAACGACACAATCGAAGTTACTTGAATTCGGTCGTACACTGCCAAAACTGTATCTGTTGACCCATCCGTGAAGGAAAATCTAATTGGCGCCGACCCAGTTCGACGGATTCAATTGGCAGAGTGTACTGGGCATAAAGTTCATCTCTCAAATAACAGCGTCAAATAGTAGGAGAACATTAGAAGCTCTGAACACCCAAGAACGCATCTTTGGATATTCAATCCAGCATCATTTTCACCACAGAGAACCATGATACCAGCTGAGGAACAGTATCTGGCTGACGGAATGCCTTGCAAAACCACCACCATCCCAACATCATCATCATCATCATCATCATCATCATCATCATCATCATCATCATCATCATCATCAACAACAACAATACTAACAACAACAATAACAACAGCAACAATAACAACAACAGCAATAACAACAACAACAACAACAACAACAACAACAACAACAACAACAACAACAACAACAACAACAACAACAACAGAGGAAACAAAGAGCTAAGACAAAGCTTCACACACAGAAGGGATGAGCTATGATTTAATGAACAGATTTATCTCCAGGAAACAAACATTCGCCAGAGGACACAAACTGTACCTAGTTAAAATAATTCATATACAAATTATCACAAACTAAAAAAAAAGATAGTAAAAACGGTCGACAATCTATTCAGATGTTATAAGTCAAGACAATATTTCTTTCAGGAGAGAGGAAAAAGAAAAAAACGTTAACTTTCTTAACAGTTGTTCTTACTTTCGTTACTTTTATTGCTCTATTCCACATTTAGAATTTTTTGAAAATATTTTTGAGCTAATACACCCGGTGCAACATACAAAGAAACTGCTGTTTAAAAAAAATTAAAATCTTGGGCTTAGTACACCTGAACAGTTGTCCAACAAAATGCATTGCACTATAAAGCATACCTGTATATATTTTAGGTGTGCAACACGGAAAGAACAAGGAACACAATGAGAACATTATTATATTCAGCAGTGTCATTATTCTATTTCGTACTATTAACTGTAATGAACCTGTAGGTTCTATAAGCCTGCAGCAGACTTTCACTACTTATTAATAAAAAAAAAAATACAGAAGTATAAAAGTCAAAATTTCAAGTTCGAGAGTTTCGTTCCTTTCGATCCCCCCCCTCCTCACTCTTTCTCTCTCTCTCTCTCTCTCTCTCTCTCTCTCTCTCTCTCACTCTCTCTCTCCCCGATTTCTCTGCCCCCCCCCTTATTTATTTTTATATGAAGTTTATTGTTTGTTATCAAATTAGATAGGCTATATCTTTCAGCAGTCCCTACGAAAGAGATCCAAATCAGTTCTCAACCTGCATCGCTTTAAAGGTTAATTCTTCCTCCTTCATAGAGTGCAAAAGCAAAGACAAAACGTAACATCATTGCTGCCCCCCCCCC